TTTGCCTTCAAAATGTTGAATTTTGATAAATTCTTAAATATTACAATTACGTCTTGTTAACATACTAAGCATCATTAGCCTAATGTACAAAGACACAAATAGCCATTAAGGTGGTTGTGGGTTCATATTTGTACCGTGTTTGTTTAGAAACGTACTCTTCCCATAAGCTTTAAGCTTAAGTTGTAGGCAGTAAGTTTAATGATTTTCTTAAATCCCGTAATTGTACTGTTTCATAGCATACTGTGTAGACTAAATATTTGAACTAAATATTCACTGTTAGAATTTCTCCGTTAAAATCAAATTATTTGTAAGCGTAAAGTAAAACCAGTAGAGTTTAATGGAGCAACTGTCAGAACAAGTTCCTCCAGTAAGGCTCATATACAAAGATCCGAAACACAAATTGCTGGAACTTTCGTTCAAAACTTCGATCTTCGCTGAACGGTGCTCGAAACTCGAGTTGTGAACTCCTTTCACTTTCATGCCAAAGTAAATTGTTTTATGCTTCTCGAGAGATGTATTAAGCTTACTAGAGCTTTGAAACTTATTTGTTGTTGAATTATTATTTACATAATTTTTAAAACTTTTAGTGTTATTACAGGAATGTTATATACCTTCTTTAAGGCATACAATGTATCTGCAGTTCCTCTGGTATTTCAAATTAAAAATGCCTAAGATATCAGCAATTACGGCATATTTTTGAATAATACTTTTCTCAATAATAAGCCCTACACTTACGTCACGCTTTAGGCTATATATTTTCACGTCAATGGCGTCAATTAAGGAGATAAATATTTTGGATAAAAAGTCTAATGTGGGAGACCATAAGTTATTGCCAACATAGAGGAAGCAAGGTTATTTGGGTAATATAATTGATTCGACATCGACAAATGTAAACCAAAGTAAAGTTTTAATAATTGTATGCGGATAAAGCCGCTTGAGAACAGCTAGTAAAATATAAAGTTACAAGTTTACTAGTAGAAAATCATTTTGAATAAGGCCAATAATATACGAATACCGTTTCATAAAACCTTAGATAATGTTTTACAACGGGAGTATTTTTCCTACATGTATCAGCTCAGACTGTTTAAATGTATTTACTCGTGTTATTCTCTATGTGAAGTAATACTTTTCTCGGAAATGTTTATTGTCGAGAAAAATGTATCATTGTCGTTAATTGGCTATCATTTTTCTCTGAAATGATACGAATGTTAGGAAACAATCAGAAAATAACCGTAGATTTTTATAGCACCTGTGTCATATTAATATTTGTTATGTTTTATGTATGAATCATTTTATTTAATAAAATGAATTCGACGGAAGTGAGGATGCATAAAAAGGGATTTTTCTTTATGTCTTCTTCTCCGTGGATTAAAAATAGCCAATTCATCTGCAATTGATTCTATGAGCAGCGAGCGCTTCGGCATTTTTGCGAATAAAGATTGACGCTTCTTCACTACTTACTTGTGATATAAAAAGGCAATTTAAAAAATAAACTAATGCAATTATATACGTATACGATAATGTTTTTTTAACCGTGAAAAACCTTTTAACATCTTCTGGTTTTTATGTAAAGCAATAAACTGCCACATCAAGTTAATAAGCCGAAACGTTTTTTATCGCGTTTTATTGCAGACATAAAACAGGACCGCGTGTTCAAGACGCTGATGTTTGGTCTTATCTGGGCCAATACCGGAATTTAGAATTTATTGTATTTACACTTAAAAATTTTGTCTTTACTAATGACATAGTAATTGAGATTTGAAATAGGAACTTAAAGAATAAATACACTTTAAATTCTTCCATTCTAACGATTTTTTCATGTAAATTTGTCCATGACTTTTCACTGTTCAAATTTCTGTATTAAACGTTTTGTTAAACTTAAGTAATAAAATATAAAGCAGAGAATCTTTTGTGAATAAAATAACTATAAAACATAAATAAGATAAATTTTAGATGATAGCCTGGAGGAATCTTGGGAAAGTTTTAAGTTACTATAGGTCTTTTACATGTTACGAGACTTACAACTTAAAGTAAAGGTGCCAATAAAATGTGAGCTGTCTCAAGGCTGAACTTAAATTTAACTTAACTTTATTCGCTTCTTTCCTAATATAATTGTTCTCCTGGGGCAATTTGCGGGTGCTGTAGACATTATTTTAATGAGATTTTCTCTACTCGTTTCTGAATGCTTTAAAAATACTAGAAAAGCTAAATTTTGGTTTTATGTATTTTCGAGATTAACTAAAAATAACAATTAGGCAGTGTTTATGTTTTTACAGAAATAAGTCAACAAATCAGCTCAAAAGGTATTTATAGTCCTTAGATAAGAAAAAACCTTTTGTTTTCCCAGTATTTATACAGTAATTTAGTCTTGAAAGTTAACACACTAATAAGAGCCTATCTTGGAAAAGCTTGGGAGAGCTTATGATTTATTGTGACAGGGTTCTTGTTGGCAACTGGCCAGAGCTGTACAAATATTAATTACAACTCTACTGCGCTAATGGCTTTTTTACTATCTAAACAAATAAAGTCTTTATTTTTTAATTAAGGTCTTTTTTTATGACATAAGGTGGCAAACGAGCAAGCGGCCACCTGAATCCACCGAAATGGAAAGCGACCGCCGCCCATAAACATCCATTGCAGATGCGTTGCCTACCCTTAATTGACGGAGGAGAAGACGCACATAAAGAGGACATTTGCCTTTCCTATACGTCTTCGTCAACCGTCAAATCCACTTTTCTTCCCATTCCTCTTAAGAAAAGGGTGGAAAGGGAAAGGGACTAAAGAAAGGCCTTCGGCACGACACTCATCTACTTTCTAGGTTTTTTCGCCCGAATGTCGTTGCGGCCAATATTATATGTCTTTATATGCTAAATAACATAAATGTAGGTCATAATAGCAGTTATACAAATAATAAAATAAAGTAGGAAATGCTGAAATTCCTTTAAGACATTTTACAGAACTCACGCTTGGTTGTATAATTCCTCACAGCCGTAAACGAGCGGATTCTCTCTTCCAACTAAGGAAGCATAAAATTAATTAAATCAAATGCAAAGTTTATTCCTCGTCAATTGCAGCGGGATCTAAGATGGATAAAGATAAGTTTTACTTATTACTATGTATTCTTGAGTAAAATGAAATTAATTTTAATAAAAATGTTTACGTTGTTTTTTAAAGATAAACTACTGCTGGCTACGTTTTAATTGTTTTTGTAAAAAGATAAGATTACACACAGATCCTTTTTGTTCATGTCACCTTTGACGCGATATCTTTCTATGTCTACCTCTACCGGTGTAACATACTCATAACTAATTCTTCTTGTTACATGCGATTCATCCCTCCTCATAACATGCCCATACCATGCTAACCTTTCACTTCTTACCTTCTGTACCACTGGGGCTACTTTCAAACTTCCTGTAAAATAATTACTTATTACTTTTATATGTTTTTGTTAAATATTTCAGCAAACAAAACGATAAATAAATCTTATTCACTTTGTAATATAACATACAAAATTTAATGACAAAAGGTTTCATTAACAATATTTTCCGTTATCCAGTGTTTCAATTTAACAGTGAATAGTATATATAAATCTGTAACAATAAATTGTGAGCAGAACAACATCATTACGGGGAATGAAATGTGTCCCAAGGAGCAGTAGTATACTTCCCTCAAATTATTACACTCGCTGCGGCGGTTGCTTTAAATTATCTCGAAGTAATAAAACCTGCCCGAGCGATATATTCAACAAGAAACATAACAGTCAGCAGTGCAGATATTCTTGACAACTTATGACTTGAGACAGAAATGCTCGGTTTAAAGCATGGTTGGTTAGTATATTATATATAGTATACTTACTGATATTATCTTACTAATCTTACTTCTTACTAATATTATAAATGCGAAAGTTCAGATGGATGGATGGATGGATGGATGTTTGTTAGAGTTTGTAGACTAAACGGTTGAACGGATTTTGATGAAATTTGGTATGGATGTAGAGGATAGTCTGGAAGAACACATAGGCTCCTCACTTTTGTTTTTTTTTAATTCCACGCGGAAGGAGTCGCGGGCGAAAGCTAGTAAAGAATAAAGATTTGTATTTTTGTATGCATTTAAATAAATTAAAAACTACTCGTCCGATTCCAATTCTTTCACTTAAAAAGCTACGTTATTAGTGAGGCTATAATTTTTTTATTTCACGTGGACGAAGTCACGAGCAACTTTAATCAGATAGTAACTGAGTCCCTTTCAAGTTTTATGCATTTTGATAATATAGTTAAATTAATTCCACTGATCTGAAATTATTTTTCGCTTTATATTCAACAAGGTAAGTATTCTATTAAAAAACTATTCACAATACAAGCAAATATTCTTTATCATTTCTATAAAAAGGCATTCAAGATATCTTCCATCTGAATAAGATGTTCTTGTTATACGATTGACTTGGCTGCCAGTGACAAAAGGTTGCGTCGAGAACGGACGGCCGCCCACTGCGGTGTCAGACACAGATGTTAAGTTGCCGAGCTTTTCTTATAGATGCTGATAAATTTAAATGTAGCTTCACTCATTTTTCAAAATTATTTAATAAATTACAATGAGAATCGATGTATGGGTAAAACACTAATATAGTACTTTATTTGATATGTCCTTAAACAGTCTGAAGTTTTGGAATTTCTTATACAATCTCAAGATAGTTGATAAAAAAGGTTGATGTTTTAAATTGTTACATCATATTTGATTTACTAAGGTTTATTTTACATTATAAATTTAATGTTTTGATCCTTTTTAAATAACCTTAGCTTGATAGTGCTATCTATCAACTATATTTGAACAATTGAACAATAAAGATTTTTTAAATTGAAATCAAACCTACTATAGTTGAAAGTGGTATACAATAACTATACCTCTGACGCAAGGCAATGTTATGAGAAAATCGCTATATAAATAGGGCGGCCTATAAATTCTTTCACTTTATTTTCTTACTCGGCCACGTATAAATCGTTTAGAGTTAAAGTTATGTTTATTTGGTAATATATTTGTGAAAATGCGGCAATTATATTTATCGTTTCTCGCTATATTAATGTTCGTGTTGCCTTCAACGAAATGCTCGGATTCGGGTAGAGATGGTTTCAATTTTTATAAAGGTAAGTAAATAGAAATTTGGTTACTCCTGGATTTATTTTTACCTCTTTTTATCTATATACTTCTCTTCGATTGTGTTGGTGACACGCGTAATAAAATGTTAATTCTATTTTTCTTTTTTTTTAAACATAAATAAACTAGCGCTTGACCACGACTCCACCTAAGCTAAGCGAAGTCGAGTCCGAAGTATAGACCCCGCTAATTATTTGTTATCAATCTATTAATAATTCATTGCTGTTATGTATTAATTAACATAGTAAACTAGCTTTCGCCCGCGACTCCGTTCGCGTGGAATTAAAAAAAGCAAAAATAAGTGGCCTATGTGTTTTTCCAGACAATCCTAGAGGATTGCCAATGAAATTTGGCATAGATGTAGAATCTGTGCCAAATTTCATTGAGATCTGTTCAGCCGTTTAGGATACAAACTCTAACAAACATCCATCCATCCATCTAAACTTTCGCATTTATAATATTAGTAAGATTGAATATTATTCTCGGAATGAATGAAATATAAGCACTATTCATAAAAAAGGTTCTCAAATATTAAGAATTCGTTTTAATTCCAGATTACGTTCGCGGTCGTTCAGATGACAATTTGTCGGGGGAGCCATTACCTGAAAAGATGCTTTGTGAGTGTACTTAATAACTTAGAAATTGCTTTTTAAATAATATCAAGTCTTCATTATGTACTGTCCTGAAGTAATGTAATCTTAATGATATTATAAACTAGCTTTCGTCCGCGAATCCGTCCGTGTGGAATTAAAATAAAAAAGTAAATAACCTGTGTGTCCTTCCAGACTATCCCCCACATCTATGCCAAATTTCATCGAGATCCATTTAGCAGTTTTGGTTACAAGCTCTAACAAACATCCATCCATATTAATTTTTGCATTTATAATGTTAGTAAGTAGTAAAAAGTAAAATATGAATGTTTAGGATCGATGGAAAGCCAGATAACAAAACGTTTATGTTGGTATTAATGATTGAAGTAAGGATATACTCACATTTTTTTTAGAAAATCGCATTTTTTTCATTTTTCAGACTTTTATCGAACACCAGTTCAATTTTTACCCGGTTATGTACCTAACGATCAACAAGAAAATAGGAAAAGGAGGGGGAATGTATTTAAAAGTAAGATTTTATCATAAATTACATTTAATTTATTAAAAGTGTGATGTTGAACATATAATGTACATATATTAATTTATAGGTTATATGTTGAACAAAGATGTAGGAACAAATGAACCTCGTAGAAAACGGTCAACAAAATCACTTATGTTACAAGGCAAGCAACCATATCATATGTAAGTATAACTAGAATTATTCACTCTACAGACTCTAGATTATAATAATAAAACCATATTTATATATAACAGCGTCGTAAGATAAGACCACGCTTAAACTCCGAATAATTTTAATATTTATGGCCGGTTTCTCAGCTACATTTAGCTATTCGTTAGTGTTTTTGGTTCGATAACTAATTAAAATGCATTTCCGAACGTAACTTGAGCTACTACGTTGTAACATTTTAAAGAGGAAAGATTTATATTTTTGTATGTATTGAAATAAATAAAAAACTGGGACGATTTCAGACATTTCAAAGCTGTGTTATCAGTAACATAGGCTATATTACTTATTATTTTTTAGTTTCACACGGTCGATGCCGCGAGTAACAGCTAGTAATAATAAAATAAACCGAAACTTAACAAGCCCAGAATGCTGGGACTGGACGTCTAATGAGACGTCTATCAGATTTTAAGCGAAGTTTTTGAGATTTGTTTCAGTGTTCGGGCGTAAAGCTAATTGAAATATTCTGCTTATTACAGGACAAACAATATTTCCGAAGAAGAGATAGAAGGGATTACTTCGCAGTATTAAATAAATTGAAATAATACTTGATTCTATATTAACAGAAAGCTTGAATAAATGTTATAAAATATACGATGTTTTTTATATCTTTTAAAGCCACACTATTAACTCAATAAAAAGTGAAAATTCTAATTTAGTTACTTTCACTAAAATTAATATTCAGTCTAATATACTTTCGTATATTACCTGTGATAACTTCAACCAACCGAGTAGTATCCCTGGGGCATATGCATGCAGTAAAACAAAAGAAAGATAAGCGAAATGTTGAAAAAGATAATGAAGCAAGCATTGTGTTCTTAATCCAGCGTCTCAGCTCACAAAGGTACAAAAGACAGCTGAATATTATTCAAGCTTACGCTAATTTCACACGCGGGCGGTAAAGTTAAACCAAAACAGAATACCCTAAACAAAGTAACTTTCGATATGTTACGCGCTAGTCGCGTTTTTTTTATTTTTTCAATTTCGACAATCCTGCATAGAACTATTTTAACAGGAAGTGTTCCTTCAAACAGTTCTAATACTGTTTTGTTTTATACCCTCGTGTGAAAGTAGCATTATGGAGAGAATACGCCCGCATAAAATAGCGGCAGCACGTACGGCCTTGGCAAAACATTTAAGTATGCCCGTCATGGAAATTAAGCCAGTTAATTCGTCCTTCTTTCTGTTTATATAATTTTAAACAATAGCTTCTGTTTAAATTTTTATTTACTCATGACAGAGACATCACAATGCAGATTTTATAATAGAATGTAATTTACGAATCCATAGTTTCACAGTTATTAATATAGGTAGTGTTGGTTTGGAGTGTTGTATGTCATGTCAACAATGAAAATTTAAAAATTACATAACATCAAACTTATGCGCTTAAGTTATTCCTATTTTTAAATAGAATTCATAAGAGTCTTATAAACAAACCGGTATGGCTTTGAACATTCCTTGAACGTATGTACAGACAGAAATTTTATTTGTTAAAGTATCCAGCCGCACGTTAAAGGAAATGGAATTGAGCTCCGAGTGGCTCGCAAACACTTCTATGTTGTTAGAGAAATCTTGCGCAACTGGGAATGTGTTGGAAATGCTTCTCTCAATTATCCTCAAATGTTTTTTTCTGGTAAACTGAAAATCATTAAATGTTACTAATGGAAGCAATTGTATCTAACATTTTCATCGTTTTCATCCCATTAGTAATCCATTTAATGTCCAAAGAAACAATAGTGTCTAAGATAGGAATTTGTAGACATGTTTATTTTTAAATTCAAATCAAATAAACGTGCCGTAAAACGCATCGAGACGCACATAGCTATATTGCCAGGAGGAAGCGGTCCGTGTCAATTACACACGAGCTTGCGACGTATCGACGTGAGTGTTCTGGCTCCTATTTCCTTTAATACTCCTTTTCGCGACACTTCTGTATGTCTAGTAAAGAACGCAGCAGTTGTTTTAATACAGGGGCTAACAACATTTTATTTTAGTCAAATAATAATGCAGTTGTTTCAGGGGTCAGCAACAGTTTTGTTGAAGAAATAAGTTTGTAAAATGTAGTTATTTGAAATAATGATAGATATAACATGTAAAATTTTGAGTTATACGTTTATTTAAATAAATTGTAGTAGTAAACTTAAAAAATGTTTAATATTGAATCATCGATAGGAGTTGATTGATTTCACTTTCTATTACAATCCATCAATAGCATTAAACCACAGAATTGAGGTAAAACGACCTGAATTGACGAAAAGGAAAAGCTTTATCTCCCACCCTGACAATGCCGGGCCATAAATATCTTTAATGACTTGTCGGAAATTGAAGGAGGTTGAGCTTTGATGCATCTATTGAAAGTAATACGTTTTAAAATTCCCTCAACAACGCCCACTCGAAATTTAAGACAAAAAACACAAAAAGTAACAAGTGGTTAACTTGAAGAAAATAATTTTATCTACACTAACATTACAAGGATGTTTTTGTATGTATTGAAATACCTAAAAACTACTGGGCCGATTAAAAAAAAATCATAATTAAAAAGCTACGTTATCAGTGAGTAACATATGTTATGTTTTTTATTATTTTTTAATATCACGCAGGCGAAGTGGCGAGCAACAGCTGGTATACTATAAACTACATATTTTTTTTAAAACAATTTATTTAACTAGTTATAAAACCTAAGCTGTTGTTACAATATCTGCAATTTTACTTACGCCTTGCTATCTATCTTCTAAATGAAGCAATCGGGGCTTACGGAAGATCCCCCCTATTTCTCGTACGTGAGAACCCTTTTGATATTCTATATCAGCAATTTGCCAAAAGAGATCACGTAGGATTCAATAAACCCAAACCTAATATTAATACGGGGCGCGGCAGTCGTCGTCGGAATGGCATTTTCCGTTACTTTACCATAATGAAGGTTCGATGAAACTCCCTCCCAATGTTTACTGAAGCTTCTGTATAAATTTTGTTTTACTTTTATTATTATTACTACGATCCGTATTTAACAATTTAGATTTTATAAACAATCACATATCGCATTGAAACTTTTTCATTAAAATGTTTGTGATTCCTGATTTCAATCTGAAATCACATTCCTTCACAATTTAAAACATTTTACGGTAACTGCATTATGCCAGGCATGAAATATTAATTAAAATTGTAATAGATAAAAACAATACAATTAAATTTAAATTTATTTGACTAGCGACTGAGGACATCAAAGAACTTTAATTGGTATAAAATGTAATGAATAAAACTCTAATTAAAGCATTCATAGCATAGTTTTAACCAATCTTTAAGCAATTCTAAAATAATTCTGCTGAATAATTAACATAATCTATATACTAATATAATAAAGCGTTAACACACACTTCTTTGTGGCTTATAATGTCAGCACTTACTGCATGTTTTTAAATAATTATTTTTTAAATAAGTACATCTACAATAACGTCACGCTTTAGGCAATATATTTTTACGATATTAAACTTAAGGGGTAAAAAAATCCTTCATGTGGGAAAGGGACCATAAACTACGAGCTGCCAATATTAAGGAAACAAGGTTATTATGGTAACGGTAATTTTGACATTTGCAAATGAGAATTGGACAAATGTAAACAATAAAATAAAGTTTTTTTTAATTTCATGCGGATGAAGCCACACGGGATAAGCTAGTTCAAGTAATAAAGAACAGTAGCATTAATAAACAAAACAGAATTACGAACGGGTACGTTGATGAGCGCTTTGCATGACCTAATTGAAATTATCGGCAAATATTCGTCGGGAGATTAAACCATTGTTTGCCTCATATTCGCCTTTGAATATCAGTTAATGAACCAATTATAATCCGACGGGAATTAGCTGGCCATGATCAGAATTAGTGATGTCTGTAACAGATTTATACAATTAAGCTCTACTGTGTGTTATTAGCATGCATTGTATTTCAGGGAGAATGTATGGATGGTACGAAATAGAATAAGAGAGGTTTCGAAGATAGTAGATTTTTTTATACATTATATTACAAGGTGGCAAACGAGCAAGCTGCCACCTAAATCCGCCAAAATGGTGAAGCGACCACTGCCCATAGACATTCGCAATTGCGGATGCGTTGCCTACCCTTAATCGACGGAGGAGGAGACGCACATAAAGAGGATATTTCCTCTTCCTATGCGTCTTCTCTACCGTTAAATCCACGTTCCCTATCTATCCTATTCTTATGAGAAAAATGGTGGGATGGAAAAGGGACCAAAGTCGGACTTCCGGCACCACAGTCAACAGACGAAACGCAGAATTGCTCCCACTTCACGCCGCTTCTGTGTGGTCGTGATATTGCACCGGGCGAGCCGACTCATTCGTGCGAAGATGTTAAAGCGGGCACGACCACTGATGTATGGGACTACAAATTGTGCCAATCCTTAGTAAGGAACAGGATAAAAAATAATGATTTTCTAGTCTATTTTCCTCATGATTCTTCCCACTTCCTTTCTAGTCTCGGTACATAGAACTACATCTTTATTTAGTCTGGATAGGATCAACTGGCATAATCTAATTACATTTACAATGGTAATGTTAAACATTTCACCATTATGAGCATCTTTTGTTCTATCATCTACATCAAACAGTCCATTAAAGGATAATAAAGCCTTTGTGATGCCACAATATTAATTAAGTTGTCATGACGGAGTTTAAAAGGTCTTTGGTTTTATTTTTCTAGTGTACAATTTATTAACGAACACTGAAGGAGAAAGTATATTTTTACTGTTATCAATATCACTGAGGTTTTTAGTTAAAAGGTTTACAACTTCATTTAAATAAATAAATGACGAAAGTGTTTTGTTTTGAAATATATTTCTTTTGTCATTTAAGTAAATGATGACGTCATATTCTTACCCTAAAGTAGTTTGAAATGAAATATATTTTGGATAAAGTAGTCCATCGTTGTTATATCGTGCTATTACGAGCGGAGTAAGGATCGTTCCCATGAGCATTTTGTATGAGTTTCACACATTACACAGACAACCATTTAAACTGGGAACACGAGATAGACGAATTCCGATCATGATGTCAAGATTTCGGTGTCTTTAAAGGTGATATGAGGTGTCTTATTATTCTGGTGGGCAGCGAAGCCGATAGTACTTGTAAGCCACTGCGCCTTTGTCGATCTCCGTGATCCCGTGGGACCGGGACCGTCGTCAACATAAACAAAATAGTGTTATTGCTTGTATCTTATCTTGAGGGAAAATATTGGAAACGATTTTTTCTGATAATGTTTTATTTTACAAGTATTTGAAGGCCCATACGAGTTTCTTTTACGTATAAAAGTAACCTTTCACAACGTTATTATCCCGAGGGTTTTAGAAGACTTTTTGATTTTCTTTTCTTAAAATAGCTTAAATCGTAATTATTTAAATTTAAAATGTGTACTTTAAAAGATAACTAGAATACAAAAAATCATATATGGATATAAAAACCCAGATTAAAAAGAAAAAACGTTCGATCATGCTGTAAAGATTATTTATCTATTTATATTAATGCATTTTTATTGT